AAAAGAACAGGTCAAACAACCCCCAATATATCTGACATTAAAGCTGACAGTGAGATGGATAATAAAACAATACAGCATGTAATAAAACTAGTCGAGCGAACGGTGGAAATGCTAAACAAAGACAAACGGCCCAATTAGGAAACCGTAAAATTGTAGTGAAATCGTAAAAAACTACATTGGCAAATAACGTACGTCTATGTTGTTAGTCTGATTCTTTCTCTCAACTAGCATTTAGTAAAAAACATTTTTTAGCTCGTAATGAATTCACTTCTTTGAAGCTAGAACTTTCTAAACAAATTGAAATGCATATGCTTTCATTTCTGCACACCATCATAATAAATCTCCAGTATATGGCGTGTATTTGAATAAGGTCTGTAGCTTGGCACCACGGGCAGACGGTTACTATGTACTGATAGCCGTACTAACCTGAGATAAGCCGAGATCACAGGAAATCTGACAAGGCCGGGCATGACTGGACATGCCTCCATGACCTTAAGTACACACAATGAACAACAAAGCTGTGGCAGCTTACTGTCAGGGGCTGTTTGTGTCTTTATAACATTTGAGAACGCTATATACAAATGTTAAAAATCATGTGATTCTTGGCCTACTTTACTAGGGAAGGATTAGGATGGTCAACTAGTCGGCTTTTTGATTGAGCTTGAATAGTGAGCTTATCTAGATTTATGATTTTAGTGGTGGTGACAAAGGGAATAAATTACAGACATACCGTCTCTGAGAGGGTGTTTAACATGCTAAAATGTGTAACAGTTTCTGAATGTCCAAATTAATTTCCGGTACTACAGCCATTAAAGCTGGGCTTTTCTAACACATTCACAGACTAGACAATTAATGTCAGAATCTAAAAATTGTAATGATCTGTTAAACTACACATGCAGAAAGACATCTTTAGCTGTTGCATTGCACCTGGTGCTGTCAGTGTTGCGTTGAATGTTAAAAAATACAGTAAAAAATGTTTCAAAATAAAAAAAAATTTCAAATCACATTATTTTAGGGTTTGGACAACACTGTAATTTTTTAGTTGTACTACAAAACATTTCTTAATTTTTATTTTAAAGTAGTATTAAATTGTATTATTTCTAAATTTGTTTAATATTTATTTTTTAGTAGAAGTAGCAATAATTATATGTATAAAAAATGTATAATTTGTATAATTTAATAATAATGTATAATTTATGATAATCACAAAATATTTGGCCAAACTGTGCAGCCCTAAAAACCTCAAGATTTTTTTAAACGGCATTTTAAATAGCAATCAATCACACATTTTAACAGAAAAATCACAATTAGATTTTAAATATATGATAAATATTAGTATTGCAATTTTACAGTTGTACTATAAAAACTTATCACCTCCTTTGCTTTAATGTTAAATATTACAAGTATTTAAAAAAATAATAATTCTTGCAACTTCGAAATATACATAATTTTTAAATATATATATTTAAAAAGGTTTTAATTAGTCTTTTCTTTAAACGGTGTGCACACTGTAAAAATGTTTTTCAAAGTTGTAAGTAAAACAAAGGTTACTGGAGTATGTTTTACAAGAAAGCACGATTGAAAATTTCATGTTTAATTCAATGTGTTACTTGTAAATTTCACAAGTATTTACAAAGAAACGACAAGCAATTTCTGAGTGAAAAATGTTTTTAAAAGTAAATCCTACACCAATTTTTTTTTTAAATCATTATCTTAATCATTACAATATAGCGCTTCCTTAAGATCTTGTCCTTTTGACAATTCAATAACTAGCTGATTTTGAAAATATACAATTTCTCACATCCCTACATTCTATATAATAGTAGAAAAAAATCAAAAGCTTTGCCACGAGCGCTGAATCATATTCATCTGTAACCCAGCAGTGCAAACACACATCCGGCTGTGGCTGTTTGATTTTAGACCATAAACTTTAAATGCACATTCCTCCTTAATACTATAAAATGACTAACACTGATGCTGATTGATCCTGGCTTGATTTGCATTTCGCTTGGTCACTGCCTATTAAATCGCTAACGTCACGGCATTATGGCCATTAGGAAAGTTCCCCATTTCTGTTAGTTCCACACGCACATTTAAACGAAGGCTGAAAGATGCCTTGTCTGGCTCCTTAGACATCCTTTTCTGAGTAATCTGTCAAAATAAGAGGGTTAGTCATCAAGTACGCACACGTGAATGGACAGACAGGCTACGGCGCTCAAATCAGTTTAACGTGATTGAAGGAAAGCACGAACACGCCTGAGTTTGATGAAAAACAGATGATGGAGCCAGTCAAACTGTGTGCAAATGAGCAAAAAATGCCAAATGCAAAGTATTTCTATTTTCTAAAGAAAACGTGGTTGTTCTTCTCTAAATGTTTTTAGTGTGCTGTCATCTCTGGGATGGTTTCAGTACTGCTTAGAGCTAGAAATCGCACAATATGTGGCTTTTGTTATTCGCTGTTTACACAGAGACTGGCTTTTTTTTGTGAGCCGGTTAATACTGTTCAAACAACACTTGTCCGAGTGTCTTGGTTTTTTCCCAGAGAGCTAGCTGGGTAATCTGGCAGGCTCATCGGCAAACAGGTAGGGCAGGGTGGCAGGTAGATTAGCAAAGCCACTGCTATGTAACCTCACAGTGCCACATTGTTCCCTCTGATTGTACTGGTACAGCGGAGCTGAAAAGAGAGCGTGGGAAAGGCAGATGCTCTCAGCTGGCACACCTATACCTAGAAATTTTAATAACATGTGGCACTAAAAAGGAGCACAGAGTTGACATCATGCTAATTTCAAGTATGCCAGCTCCCATTTCCTTGAATAGCTGGGTGATGTATCAAATATTAATGATAGAGTTGAGCTGGACTTCTAAATTCATTGTGGCAAAGTTCTATTCATTTCTGAGATTCAGTTCAAAGGGTCCATTTCAATGAATTGATTCAGAAGTCAGTGTTGAAAACATTAATGCAAATAAACATTGATGCACATATTCTTATTTTAACACAAAAAAATAAGTGTTGAAATCTTTCTTATGTTTTGATTTTTTAAATAAAAATAATCAGAGTTAAAACGTAAACTGAGATAAACATTAAGTATTGTTAAGAGGCTATAAATAGATTTTTCAAAGAGTCCTGAAAAATTATTTTCACAAAAACATGACCTCACACAACTGTTTTCAACACTGATAATAATAATAATAAATGCTTCTTGATCAGCAAATCAGCATATTAGAATGATTTCTAAAGGATCATGTGACACTTAAGTAGGGCTGGGTATCGAGTTCGATACTTTTTAGGCACCGACCAAATTGCCTCGATACAATCAAGTATCGAAAAACGTCTCGTCGTTCTGTACCAAATTTCGATACCTAAGGGGTTAATCTTATCATGTCAGTGAGCCAATAAGCCTGCAGCACTAGGTGTGCTCGACTAGAAGCAGCGCAGTGCGGCGCGGCACAAATCGATCAGTGTTTGACATCCGCGAGAGCGATTCGAAAGCGTACGGAGCAGTCTGCTCTCTATTGCTCTCGTGGTACTGTAATACACCGATCGGTCTGCACAGTTGGTCCGCGTCACCGGTTACACTCAGAGATGTGGCGCACACGTGAGGCTGTAGTGTGAATGCGTCCCAGCCCCCTTAGATGTAAAGCTACATTTACACTGGTGCGTTTTTGTTTTAAAATGAAAACGATCCTTGTCATACTGGCGTTTCCACTGCGTTTCAAGCTGGCTTTCCACTATCTCTGACAAACAACAGACCGAAAGTCATTCATTTCCAATGGAGAGTGCGGGAGCTGCATGGAGTTACAATCATGCAGATGTCCATTCATTCATACTATGCGACCAAAAGCGCATGTTATGTGACCATTCGTGCACACTGTAGCACCATGCTACATAAGACAATAAATACAATTTTACTCAAAACTAATTTTAAAACCCCATCGAGTGTTTGTAATAACTTCCGATTGCCGTCTAATGTGTGTTTTGGCCATGTAATGTTGCTGAAATTAAATGTGTTATTACCTCTGAGTCAGAACAGCGATCATGGAAGAGAGAACACAGGCAGACAGCGCTGGAAGCTGCTAATGCTCATCAGTAAATCAGTGGAAAATTAATAGAAATCATGATTCTGTCTGAGCTATGCGTTTTAAATAACAAATGTGTAAACTGAAGACTATTTGAGCTTTATTACAACTATAAGCACTGATTTATTGTGTTGGTTACATTTTGTTCCTTTGTGCAGTGGCTCAGGAGATGAGTCTTTGAGTCTGTATAAACATCAACAAGCTGAAAAATAAAGCCAAAGTTTTTTTTTTTTTTAGATAATGCAATGTTTTTAAAATTGATTTCATAAAATTAGTATCGAAAAAAGTGTCGTTCAGGAACCGGTATCGAAGTATCAGTATCGATATTGAAAATTTTTGAACGATACCCAGCCCTACACTTAAGACTGGAGTGATGCTGAAAATTCAGCTTTGCATCACAGGAATAAATTACATTTAAAAATATGTATTAAAATAAAAAAACACTGTAAAAATCATAATATTGTGAAATATTATTACAATTTAAAAGAACTGTTTTCTATCAAGTAAATGCAGCCTTGGTGAGCAGGAGAGAGAGAAAAAAAAAAAAACTTTTAAACGGTAGCCCTACATCTGCAAATTCACCCAAGTGCAAATTTTCCCAAAACATGTACGACAAAGATTTCAAAAGAATCGAAACGGTCCAAAATTTTGTACCATGATGAAAAAAATGAACAATTAAACGTCTGGATGCTGAATGAAGTGAACTTTTTTTGTAGAGCAATAAAAAGTGGCATTAACAATTTTAGCCTATTTATTTATTCTACTTTTGTGTCAACCATTGGATTGGTATGATTATTTGGATCTATTTAGTAACCTGTGAGGCCATCCAAGAGAACCAAAGATTCATGTGGGGACCAGTAGTAAGTGTTACATTATAATGAAGCGAGGGATATGGAAACAACTACAGTCAGGTGGCATCTCACCTGTCCAACTTCCTGTGCATACAGCGCTGTCGTATTTGGCACCGTGTTGTGCTTCTTCAACTTCCTCTGTTGCTCCAATCGCTCTTTCTCTTTCTCAACAACACGTGTGGACTCTCTCAGCCTCTCCAGGTCTTGCTGATACGTCTGCCTTTGCCTCTCGAGTTCCTGCCTCTCCTCGGACAAACGCAGCTCCAGTCGCCGACACTCCTCCTCCCACTCCTTCAGCCGCTGCTCGGCCACCTCCTCTTGCCGCCGCTGCTTCTCCCGCTCCCGTTCCCAGCGCGCCTGCTCCTGCCGATGCTGGCTCTGTAGCCGCTGGAAGTTGGCAAGCTCCTCGCGGTGCTTCTCCAGGTTGCGCTGCTTCTCCTGCTCCAGAAGCACGTCTGTGCCACGGTTCCGGCTGCCGGGACGGTCCCGCTCGGCGGTGAGGAGAGAGGCCCGCTGGAGCTCGATGTGGCTGTCCTGCTGAGAGATTATGGCCTGAGGGGGAAGGAGACAGAAAGGACTTGATGTTTGGATAGTTGTTAAGAGCTTCCTGATAACTAAGGCTTAGTTTTGTGCTTCAGCTGCTTGGCCTTGTATTTGCTCAAACATGATTTGTGTACTGTATTGTAAGGAGCTTTGGTAAGAAAGTGTCTGGTAAGAAAGTAAATTTAATGCAATGCAAAGAGAATGAAAGCACAAAAAAGAAAGCACGCAACTTAAAGGACAACAGACAGAAAGGGAAAAAAGTACAAAAAAGAAGGAATGAAAGGTCAAAAGAACAAACAAAAGCGTGAATGAAGAATAAAATACAGAAAGAATTAAACCAAAACCAAAAGAATGGAACAAAGAAAATTAAAGGATAACTAAAAGGACAGAAGAAAAAACAAAAGACCAAAAGAAAGAACAGACTGTCACCAAACAAAAGAACCAATGAAAGACAATGAAAGCAATTAAACAAACGAAAGAAAAAATCAAAAGACAAAGAGTACAACAAAACAGAAAAATAAAAACAAAGCAAACAAGAGAAAATAAACAAAACAACAAAAGAAAAAAGAACAATGGCAAACAAAAACAAAAATACAAGAAAGAAAATGAAAGGACAACTGAACGAAAAACAAAAACAAAAGAATAAACGAACGGCCAAAGAACGAACTGTCATCAAAACAAACAAATGAAAGACAGGGGGAAAAAAACAAATAAAGTAAAGTATAAATACAGAGAGAGCAAATGAACAAACAAAATGGGAAATTAATAAAAGAAAAAAAAAAACTAAACAAAAATTAAAGAAAAAACAAGAGTGTCAAAAAAAAATAACAAAAAAGGCTGAAAGAAAACAGCAAAAGAGCAAAAATGAACAAACAAAAGAATTAAAAAACAAAAATAAAACAAAAATGAAAGTAAAAAGCATAAATGAAACAAATTGACTGAAGACTGGGTTCTGTGTACCTTTGTGTCCATTCATTTTCCGTTTTTGAACTCATGAAATACGAAAAATGCATTTTCTTCTTTAATGGTCCAAACAATGATGAATAGAATAAAAAGATACAAACTAATTTTCATTATTCAAAATTTGTATTTAATTAAAATTTGTAAAAAAAAAATAATGTATATAAATGCTAAATTAAATGTTTAGCTTATTAGCATCTCTATACAGTATAAGCGCCGTCTCGCGCTACTGATGTGGCTACCAGTAACCTACTGCTTTATGAAAACCTTTGGCTTTGATATTTTTATGATCTTAACACCTTTTTATGATCTTTCATGCCTGAAAACATGTATGAAATACTCAGATATTTCTTTGCAATTAACTGTATCCAGGGCAGGTGTACAGGAGTGCTAGAGGGAAACGAAAACAAGAGAACGTTAGTTGAAGTGGTAGAAATAGGATACTGGCGAAACGTATATTTCCAAATGCTCCAGTGTATATTTGTGTTTCAACTCTGGAGGTTTCTATTTTCAACATGTTTTTGCAGCACTGATCAATAGCCAATCACTGACATTTTCTGTTGTTATGAATGCAGTGGCCAAGCGTTTAAGCTAGAACCAACTCCACGCGACAGTTGTGTTCAGTGCTGCGCAGTCACTCATAACAAACAAAGTGTAACTTGATGTAAATAAGAGATTCATTGAGCAGTGTAGAGCTTCATTGATTATAACGGAACTTTGTGAGATTGCGATAAACTGAAATGAAAAACAGCTTTATAATTATTATAAAGGGAGCGCTCTTTGCGCGTTTTCTTGGCTAATCCATTTAGAATTTAAAAAAGTTTTGTTTTGTTTTTTTTTGCTAAGAGGACCAGTGACAGCAGCTTACATGCTGCAAAGCTTCAGGAGTGACATCCACATAAAAATGCAGCATTTATATGCGGATGTCACTATCAATGGACAGGGCAAAAATATGTCAAAATAGATGTACATTAAGGCTAGGTTCTAATTTCAATTTTGGTTTTCAGCATAGCATTTAAAAATACAACCGTTCTTTTTTCATTTTTTTCGGCATGGTTAAAAAACGAAAAATGAATGGACGCAAAAGTACACGGACCGACAGAACAAATAATGACAGAACAAAAAAACTAAAATGAATGAAAGAAAATGGCATGAATGAAAGAACGAATGACAGAACAAACGAAAATCAAAAGAACCAATAAGAGCAAATGAGAACCCAAAAGCGAAACTGACAGAAAGAAAAAAATTATCAAAATAATGAAATAAAAAAAGAACAACAGCAAATGAAAGACAGAAGGAGCAACAAGAACAAATTAAAAGGAGCAGACAAGCGAATGAACAAAAGAACGTTTGGAAAATGAAAATAAAAGAATGGACTAATGAACACAAGATATGTAGCTATTGTTTAACCACAATTTTGCAGATGTTGTGAACATCTGAGCAAACAAATGACCACAGCCTGAGGAACCTGAAAGGGGAAGATTCCTCTAAAGCAGATCCTGTCATGATTACAGGATGCGTGTGGCTGACGTTATGAGTGAGACATGAGTGTGGTCATTCTGTTGTACCTGTAAACTGTACAGCCTCTGGGACAGCAGCAGCACTCGCTCATAGAACTGGAAAAACAGGAAGACAAGGGCAACATTACTGGCAGGATGATTCAATATTCAGAGACATTACTCTCATGAGACACAATGCCACATTCCTGCCAAGTGAAGTATTGCTGCATTAACTGCCGATTAGGTGCGGTGAATGCAAAGGTTACCATTTCAAATATGTATTGAGAGGGGTGTGAGAAATGATATGCGCCTTTTATCTCGTGGGAAACAAAGCGAGACATAATCGCCTCAATTCCAATCCAATGTGCGCTCTTACCTCTGACTCTGGAAATTTACAGGTGGACCACATTTTGCGCAAGCCAGGTGAAGAGGCCTCGTCCTGAGAGAGATGACATTAAAATAAAAACTAAAAAAGTTGTTTGGATTTATTCATGCATATCAATGTTTCATGAGAAAAGCCCCAAATTAAGATAATTCAAAGACTTATTCAAAGATTATCATGGTAGATGAGTAATGCATTACTTTCTTATAGTTAATTATAGCAACAAACATTAACTCTTTCCCTGTCAAACATGGAATTTTTTCGGGTTTCCGTGTTTTCACTGTTATACACTCGAGGGCGCTATTACACATCTCCTGAATGAGTCCAGAATGTCCCGATCAAAAACACAGGCGAGGAAGACACAGAAACGTGCGATCACATATGTAAGCAGAAGCATATGAAAAATAATGCGATCATCAACAATAAACAGCCAACAACAGAAAACTGCCTTATGTTACCAAGTGAAATGTTATCCAGGAAGTGGTAAAGGACTGTGAAGCTTTGGGAGTGCTGATGGAAGCCATCTACTGCATGTTTGTTTTGATAATATTACTGAATATGATCCAGATGTAGTATTTGATAAAAATGCGATTTTCTCAGCTTTTTGCTCAATATTTTTTTGAAAACTTATTTTTTTATGAAACTTACTTGCATTCAAGTGTTGACAAAAAAGAATGCTTGAAGCTAGAAAAAAAAAAATATATATATTTTTTTTTAAAGTAGAGGCTCTGTTCTTTATTTTGATGTATTGCATGTTCAGACAGCAAAATATTTTAGGGGCCACAAAATTTTAGTGAAAATTATCAAAAAATGCTGGCAGTGGCTGGCAAATTTTTTCAAAAACGCTGGTGGGGGAAGAGTTA